GCGTCCGCCCCGTGCCAGCTTCTCCCTTTGGAAAACTGGCAGACACGAAGCACAGGCTCAGCGTGAGTTTTGAACAATGTTTTATTATATGTTTAGTGTTCTCTATACAAAAAACTCCAGTCTTTTCTTTTTTTTTTTTACAGTGATTCAAAAAAAAATGATATCTGAGTATTTTGGCCTCCTTTCAGCTCTCATGCAGTCGGTTTAGAAGTCCTTCTATGAAACGCTCTTTCTGTAGTCCATAAACCTTTGTGCTGTAAACTGGTCATGTTACAGCCTCAGCTCTACATTTCTCATTGGAAGGAGTGAGTTAACGCAAAGGTGTTGCTTTTTTTTTTTTTGCTTTTCTTTAAAAAAAGGCAAATAAATACATAGAATACTTTAGAGCAACCAGGAGGTTGTGCAGAGAGGATGGGTGGATGGACGGACGGACGGATGGCGATATATTTACAACTTAAAGAAAAAACAAAAAGCTCCCATACTTTCTTTCTGATGTGAGCAGGAGGAACGAACGTTTAAAAGTCGGTGCTGCAAAGGAAAGATGGTTTGGTGGGTTTGACACGGGGTTTAGACTCTGTGTGACAACCAAAACCCGATGCCCACGCGTGAAGGACACGGAGAGACAGGCGCTGCTGGGCAAGGGGGAGCTACGGACGTGGTGGGTCGGTTTGATAGGACCAGAAAAGCTTCGTTCTTCTCGTTAATAAAACAGGTTTTAGTGCAAGAAAGAGAACGTGGGGGTTTTGTTCCTTTGTTTTTCAAGGTTTGTTTATTGCTTAACTGAAAGGGGTTGCTGCTAGCGCACGATGAAGCCTGGGACGATGGACGATGTGTCGCAGGCTGAACCTGGGACCTGCACCTACACTTGGACTCGGGCTCTGTCCCCTCTGAGAGGCAATGGTGGCAGCAGGGGGGTTGTGGGGTTGTCGTGAGGTGGGAGAATGGGACAGTTGGGGATTCTGTGAGCAGGATTTCAGGGCTCGTCCCGCTGCTTTTCTTTCACTGCAGCATCGCTTTGGGGAGAACAGGAGCAGCCTCCAGATGCTGCAAGGGCAGCCAGTGTCCCCTCACCTCCCAAACTTGGCTCCTGGTGGCTGCTCTCCACATGCAGGGCTCCAAGTAGCCCAGGGCTGGGAGCCAGGGGGGCCCAGGCTGGATCCTCGGGCTGGATGCAGCCCGCAGAGCCTGGATCCCTCTCCAGAACACGGATGAGGTGTTGGCTCAGCAACGGGCTCGGATTTGCAAATTGGGAGTTTGAACTCAAACTGCTTTTTCCCCAGGTCCTGAGAGAACTTAGCCTAGGTCTGGTGGTTCTTTATTGTGTTGGCCCCTCATTTATACCCTTTAGGAAGATGTATCTTCTGGAAAAGGTGAAGTGCAGATCCCAGAGAGGGCCGAGCACCCCTGTGACCCCCCTTAGGAGAGGTCCTGCCCTTTGAGCAGGGAGCAGCTGATACAGGGTCCTCCTGGGGGCTACACTATAGGTACTGGGAGATCAGGGGACTGGCCTCTCCCCTCCAGAGAGGGGCAGCTGGGGATGGAGAAGCAAAGCAGCTCCTGCAGGGTGACAGCAGCACCCAAGCTGGCAGAAATGGGTGCGCTAATGGCCTAGACCCATCTCCTAGTGCTCAAGGGACATTCGCTTGGCAGAAGCGTGACCACGATGCCTGAGTGGGTGCAACCTGGCCCTGGCTGTTTCTGGAGGGTGAGGGTGTTTTGGGGTGCTCGGGGGTCACCCTGTTAGAGCTGCAGTGGTTTTGGTGGCTGGAGCAAGTGAGGGCTTTGCTCCCCACGGCGTGGTAACTGCACGGGCAGACATCTGCTGGACCTTTAATAAAGGGAGTAGAAAACGTTAAGCTCAGGATGAGTTTTGAGCCCCGTGAGAATTTTCTTTGGGCTCCAAATCTCTTGGGGAAGATTCAAAAGAATGCTGAAATTTTGACTATGCCTTATAATTTCTGAGTAATTTTTCCACCAAGCTAATACAAGGCTACAATAACTTACACTGAGCCGTTTGTCTGCTGGGCCCTCTGCAGACATCTCCTTCCTTTTCTGATTAAAGGAACGTGCTGGTAGGACTCTAAATGGTTTCTGTGAGATTTTTTGGGGCGAGGACAAGCCTGGCTGGGCTGAGGCCAGCTCCTTCCCTCCCTGCTGGCAGAGGCGTGCCGTGGGACACGCTGCAGAGCTACAGGGTGAAACACTTCTCCATTTCCAGCTGGATGCTGAGAGGTTTGCTGAGTGAAACGGTGGCTAATGACAGGACAGAAATAGAGGCTTTAATGTAAATGGCACGTAACACAGATACATGACACAGACCACCCTGCTTCCAGTAATGCCTGACTGATTTTCTTGAGGTTTGGAGGTGTGGCGTGGTAGACAAGGGTCTTGTGGTCCCTGTTAGCAGTCGGTCCTCAAAAGCAGTGAGGATCTGGTGTGCTGGGTGTGAATGAAGGTGCCCAGCTCTGGCAGCAGAGGCTTTTCCACAGTGAAACCTGTAGTTTCTTTCTCTCCTCATTTCCACTGGTGCTTGGGGGAGAAGTCACACAAACTCCACGCTGTAAGGACAGCTGTAGGCTTGGGAAGCACCTGCCCCCACGACCAAGGGCTGCCTCACGTTTGGCCTCCTGTGTTTGCTGAACAAGTGAATGGGTGTCCTGGGAAGGGGCTGGGAGGTGCTCTCCTGAACCCAGGTGGGTGGCAAGTGGCAGCAGCAGAAAGGGGCTCGTCTCATGGAAGTGTTTATATGGGTGGTAACAGAGCCAGACGTGTGGCTCCTGCTCTGTGAGGTGGCACAGATGGAGGACCCTGGCAGATGGGCCCCTGCGTGGTGGAGAGGGGACATCCCTGCGCTGCCCTGGGGTACCAGGAGCTCCCCCAGCTCTAGGAGGGGGCTCTGCTTGATAACACCAGCCTGAACCCTCCCTGGCTCATGTCCATGTAACTCCTTTGCTGCTCGGTTTGCATCCAGCTCGCTCCTGTTTCCTCTGTGTGATGCAGCAGAAGGTGCTGTGCAGGTGCTGAGCGGGTCCAGGCTCTTCCCTGAAGCTCAGGATAGTTGTGCCATTAGCAGCTTAAAGAATGTGGCCAAGTCCATCTCGACAATCCATATTAGTAGAAGTATTCTCTTTAGCAATACGTCTTCATAGCAAACCAGCTCGAAAGCTAAAAGAATTGCATTAATCCTATTGCGTTTAATCCATTACGCTGAACAAAACCATCCTCCTCAGGAAAAAAAAAAAGAAAGAAAAATCCATCCTAACCTCGTTCGCCGCCTGTGAAACGGGCTGAAGAAAATCCCATCCCTCTCAGTGAAGGTACCTTTGGTTTCAAAAGTGCAGGAAGTGGGAGAATACAGCCGGCGGTGGCCGCTAGGTAAGGGCTAGTATAAAACTCTACCTTCTACAGTGATCCATGCTCAGCTCAGCAGGGAGAGCCACCCAGGCTTCCTACTCCTACTGCTCTCTGGGGGGGTCGAAGACCAGCGCGTTAGGGGTGCCTAAGCCGGGGGTGGGGGGTTGGTTCAGTTGGTTAAAGTCCCCGGGAAGCTGTGTAAGGCAAGTGGAGGAGCAAGTCCCACCCGAGCCGCTTCCCTGCGGTGCGTTAAAGGGTTAACTGAAATCACAGCCGGCCTGATATGTCCTAAAGGAGCAGAGGGGAGTCCTGCCACAGAGCAAGGGGCTCGCTCAGGCTGATTGATGGAGGGGGGAAAGGCCACTGGCAGAAAGGAGGAGGGGAGGTCG